TATTGTACAGATTTGTCAGATAGTTGATTGAAATGCTGTATAATGGCTCTGTCACCACAGACTGTGTCTGCTCTGTGTACATTTAAAGGAACAGTAGCCTCTAGGTTCTAGGGTTATTTTCAGCTAATTTAGGTTATAATTGCGCTACATAAAAAGTTTCATGGTTCAATCACCATTAAAAATATTTTAGGTCATTTTAGGAGCCCGAGTTAGAGAGCGGAAGGGAAATATGATCAAGGTCAAGGTAAGGTCAAATAAAGGTCGCAGTGACCTGCGTTTTGGTTACGCTGGCTCACCTTCTCCCAAGAATGTGTAAAGTATACCAAGTTTCGGCTAGCGCTAGGTCAATTAGGGGCCGAGTTAGAGAGCGGAAGGGAATTCTCTACGAGCGGACCGAGCGGCGGCGGCTGGGAGACATGAAACCATAGTATCCCGCGACTTCGTCGCGGGGGATACAATAACAGAAATCAAGAAGCTAAACTTAAAGGCGATGCCTGGAAGACGGCCACATGTCAAACGCAATGATCACGCTCAGATGATCGAGTGCTACTAGATGTCAATGTCACAACTATTATTTAGTTATTTCTTAATTATTATCTGCTTTTGGAAACTGCACTTCTAAAATAAACAATCTCATTTGTGCAGATTTGAAATGTTTTTCATATATATTGCAGCTTAATGCGTGTTGACTTGGTATGTCTGAATTACATAGTGTGCTTCCCTGACAATGAGCAGTGACAGTTACAATACCACATAACCTCATAAATATTAGTCTTCAAAATCCAAGAGACTTATATCGATGACGAAAAGAGACAAAGACACAAAGTTGATCAAATAATAGACAGAGATCATTCAACAAGACTGCACACAGATGACAGTAGAAAATTTTTAACTCAAATTTGGCACACGACTATGACTAAAGAGGGGAGAAGAGAGGTACCAACTACTTTGATCAATATTCCAATTACGGGAATGACAGAAACAATTTAACTACGAAGCATAACTCATCAGACATAACTCATACGTCATTGATAATCGTTTTAGTTTCATATACGCCAAAGCTATAATAGAGAAGAGTATGACAGTGTATGAACCGCCAGCGTTTTGCATAGTTTTCAACTTGTAAATATTCTATCAATATGTGGAATAAATATATTCAAACTTTACCTTGTTTCGTCTATGATTCTCCTCCCTTAAATTGACTACGTCACGAATTTTCTATGGTAAATTTGTAAAATTTTGTTTGCCATTTTTTACATTAAAAGTAAGAACTAACGGGACTAAACGTATTGTTAAATTTCTTACCTGATAGTTGTTCCTCAACTAGTTAAAAATCCAAAAAACCTGGACGGATTTCATATTAGTTAAATTCCTGACATTAATTGCTTGCTAATAGGCTTTGTATGCGTCACGAGTGTATGTTCACATCAAACATATATAGTAAATAAGAAATATATGCAGCAATTTAACCATTAAAAGTGCCGCAGAGCGACAGCGCTCACCTGACGAAGAGTGTTCGGATGCTAAACTCATGGCAAACAAATGAGAGCACCCTCCCATCACGGCGTTCGCGCTCAGAGCATATATCTAGGATACTACTAATACAGATCTATCTAAAATCTATGATAGCTAGGCTTTGCTATAGCCGTAGTACAGTATAAAAGATAAGCTGTGTAACTTTAATGACTTCGCTATTGAACATGTTATCATGGATATGCGTCAAGCGCGAGCGTCAGTGGTGGATGTGGGGGAGAGTGGGGGAGGGGGCGGGTGGAGGAGCTCTAATAGCCAAATCAGTTGCCCGCGACGATGCGCGCGTGCAAGTGTCATCAATTAATCAAAGATGGCATCACCCTTCGTGCGTGATAACCTCACTCCATTGAGTGCTGAAATCCAAGTATATTCAGGCAGGCGAGACATTTCGCTCAGCTGGATTAACAATCTGCATTGCAGGTTGCCAGGCAAATAATTATGATTAGAATAGTGCAGTTCACCCCTATGCATGCGTAATGGGCTGCCCCCATGTTTTTGCCTACACACGCGAGCATTCAGGTTCATTACAGTGTGCTATTACAGGGTGCTACTCAGGTGCTATACAGACTGCTTTAGAAATATATGATTTAAGAGCGGCTAAACTTGTTCACAAACATTTGCCTTTGCAATTGAACTGGGCAACTGTAGCCTCACATCCACAATAGCAAAAGCAGTTCAGTTCCTTGTTAAAGTCAAAAATCCATGTTTAACCCTTCTCTTGAGGTGTCAAAAGGTTATCCGACACTTATTCTTCGCATGTCAGCAGAAGTACATTTCATGGTCCTTTCAATAAAGCATAAAAATGCTAGTCACCGCTGAAACAAAAAAGTCTTCAATCGCTCCGTCAGACCATGTCGCTCAGAAAATGTCTAAAATCTGCCCTGTGCCCCATTGACCTTTGACCTCCAATTTCGGCACAGTGATGGCTTTTCCTACCATGATGCTATACACCGACTATCACGAGCTAGGATGAGCCGTTTAGATTTTTGCCCGCATTCTGCATTTCCTCCCTATACCTTAAGTTAAGGAAGGAATGTTCCCTTCTTTACACCTCTTGACCTTTGACCTTTTTTGACACAGTGATGGCTTTTCCTACCATGATGCTATAAACCGACTATCACGAGGCGTTTAGATTTGTGCGCTATTCTGCATTTCCTCCCTATACCTTAAGTTAAGGAAGG